CACGCATGGAGAGGTACCGTTCGTGACATCATTGAGGCCGGCTAGATAAGGTATGATCACAGCCGTAACAAGCATAAGTAAGATAAGGAGGCAGGAAAAAAAGCTCCTATAAAGGAAATCGATCGCAGACTTCAGCGAGCCACCGATTTCAAAAAAATATGTAGGAGAAAAGAAAACTGATTAAATAGATAGTTAAATTGATATGGTGTGATATGATGCAGTAAAATGGGATCGGGATGTTGAGGGTGCAGAATGCTCCTAGTCGTGAGAGGGACAAATCGTATAGCATCATGGGGCTCAGACAAGAGGAGCTCATCGGGGATAGGAGGGATCGAGAAGAGAAGGGGACAGTAGAAAACACGAGACCATCACCGCGACGCCGGAGATGCGACCAAGCGAACTGCAGAGTCCACTGAAAAGTTGGCGAAAGCATAAGAACCCACGAAGATCATCAACAGAGACCTCGAAGACCATCGTCGGGGGTTCCAAAACGGAGAAAAGTTAGCATCATTTGGAAAGCACACTTGCCTCTGCAGAGGTTCAGTGTGCCTTCAGGGCGTAGTGGCTAAGTGATGGGTGTGTGCTCAGAGCGCTACAATTACCAGGTCGAATCCAAAGTTGTTGGAAAAAGGCAGAAGTAACCATATTGGGCACAGAACCCTGCATTGCCCTCTCAGGCAGCAGTGGCCGCTGGCAGAGCCAGGGCTGGTGTTAACTGCGCCCAGTCAGGCCTAAGAGAGGGATGATAACCGCTTTTATGAGACTGTGGAGCAAGTTCAAGAGGAGCACGATTGATGCGTTGCATTGTCCGAGGGGGTGTCGTATATAGTGTCCCCGGCTGCATCGATCGAGGGGCGGTGTGTTCAAGTAGCCCTTTAGCAGCCGCGGGTATTTAGACGCGCGTTTGTGCGCGCGGGAAAGTCGGTCAAGGCTCTTCAGATCAGCGAGTAGGAAAGCTCCCCCCCTGTGAAGTTGCGAGACCTTGAGCCATTGAACACGGAAGTTGGCAAGCAATGTTGGCTGTCCGCCACAAGGGTATTTGGAAGAGTTTTCTGGTCGCTTCAATGGCTTCTTCTGTGCACCCTTAACAACTATCCAGCCCGATAAATAATGTTCGGTGTACCTGGGAGAGACTACTGCATTACACATACCCGATGCAATTTCACTGTGAGCATCGGAAGCTATCTTACAACAGGCAAAATGAGATATACGGGGTGTCCCAAAAAATTTATACACATTTTACTTATTTGTAAAATTGGTGTTTATTATAATTTTATTATAAAACAAATTAAAGGATATTTAGAAGTACCATTTTATTGTTTTTATCACTGAATATTCTCAAACTGACGTCCGTTTGGATCATGACAA